AATTAAAAATAATCGGTTATTTGGTTATTCGGTTTTTATTCGGTTTTATTTGTCGGTTATCGGTCGGTCACCGATAACCGTCCGATTTTTTATTATTTTATTATTTTTATTTGTAAATATTTAAGTAAATATAATTAATATACTTCATAATAAATTAATAACTCCATAGTAACGATAAAAAAAGAACTCCATAGTAATGAAATATGAAGTCCAGCCCACGCCTATTGAATTCCACCTACAAAACTCATCAGTGGAATGCTATGGAGCCCGTTCTTCAATTATCCACTTCCCCATTTCTTTAACTTGTATTCTTATAATCAATTCATGGAACACCCTGTTCAAAATTTCAAACCTCCACGTACACGTTCATTAGTTCTGGAGGAATCAACCTTGGTAAAGAAAAATCAACCGAAATCCTTATTTAATCATTGCGAAATTGCACACATTTTTTCTTTTAATGTTTTCTAGATCCTTTATTATCTTACTCAACATGGCAGATCTTTTGATTTTGAATTTTTTCTTTAGTGGGATTTAAAATATTCAGAAACTTTTAGATGAGTTTGCTCATTTGGGGTGTAAAGATTAATAAGATATTAGATTATTTATTTGCTAACATATATTTTTTTTATTTTGTTTTCATATTGAAAAAGACAATTGTGGAACAATGAAGTAGTTTCAACGTGGGATTTTTTAGTTTTTGTAATCGTATTGTGCTAAGAACAATTATTTACATTTAAATATGTTCAATCCATTTTGGTATTTATTATTTTATTTATTAATGTGCTATCTACAACTTTTATAATTTTGAAAAATATATGTTTTGGTCGGTTATGTTCGGTTATTCGGTTACCGACCGAAACCGAATGACATTTTTCGATCGGTTTTTGTAATGCTGTCGGTCAGTTATGAGAGGAAAAAACATTGATCGGTTATTCGGTTATCGGTCGGTTATTTGACCGACCTACCGAATGCTAACCCCTAATTAAGGGGTATTACTCCTTTGTGAAGGCACAGTAGAAATTTCCATATCTTTATATATATAAAAGCAGAATCGTCTGAACAAGCTGTCCAAAACGTGGCCTTGCATTGGATACGTGCCACACACTAATTGGCTAACAACTGACAACTATGGTTACAAATCCATGTGGCCCGTAAAGAGAAAGTTAAAACACACGCATGCATCACCCTGGTCCCTGAAAACTCTCATATCCAAACAGCTGGCAGTCCATTATTGCTGGGAGTTCCCATTACAGTTTTTTGAACACGACTTCCGGATTGTTGCACGGGATGTAGTTCCCACGACCTCCAGGCGCAACTGTAAAAAAAAAAAACTGACGCAAAGCCACATTATAAATAGCCATTGGCATATGTGATTTCAATGATTCTGTGCGAAATATTGATGTGTGTGCGGTTTTCTATTCCCTATGTTCTTTCTCAATTCATTGACTTTAATATTTCAATTTGTTTTTATCTGGTATTCTTTTAATCTACTTTTTATTTCACTTGCATATTGGATAAAATTGAAGGACTCGGGGTCCTACTGTGATCAGGGAAAAGAGATTAAAGAAAGTTCAAATTCCGAGCAGATGGACCTAATTCTTAAGGACATTCAAACTACATTAGAAGGAAAAAGAGTGGTGAAACAGCTTGAAAGGAATGGCAAAGAGAAACGATAAAGCAATGATAGTGAAGGTGGAGAAACGATAAAGCTTTAAGGGTCTACAGCTTTCGCATCTCCCTATTTGGTACTCTTATTTTGTACTTTTTCTATTAGTGTGCACCTAAGTGTGACTATTTAATAGTGCGGTTGTACATCATTTATAGTGCGGTTGTACATCATTTATACTTGCTGTTTACAATTAGTCAATTAATTCACATTATACGAGAGTATGAGACTACTGTATTGACTTGCTCTGTATTAAATTGTCATAAAAACACGTTGTTATAGATTTTTTAAATTGTCATCTAAAAAGAAGTTAACAATTACTACGTACTATATATATATATATATATATATATATATATATATAATATATATAAACAGTAATGTGGATCAGAGTATTAGTAATACCTGCTGTCGTTCGTTTGAATTATGCCTGCTAACCCCGTGGATTATAGTTTACATCACCCTTCTAACTACTTCGTATTACATAAATGGCAACTCGGAAGTAATCGGTGTACTTTTTCTCCATACTAATATATACGAAAAGTGATTAAAGGAGCCAACTTCCTGAAATAAAAATGAATACGGAAGTATACAAAAAAAAGAGAGATTAAAGATAGGGTGCATACAACACATTAAACAATGTAATGAATCACGCAGTATATTTTTAAAATTTTAAGGGATAGAATAAGACTTAAAATGGCTTGATGCTTTACAAATGGTACACATAGTGAGCATTACAAACGGATGAAACTGTATGGATCTGGAAAAAGGAAAAGGTAGGGCAGTTCTTTTTTTAAGAAGTTCCTTACTATAATTATCTAACTGGATGAACACAATCTGTTAAAAGCATTTCTGAAATGAAAAAGTCTTGCAACTAAACAAGCATAAGACAATCTATATAAAAAAATACTTAAACTGAAAAGTGGACATCAAGTGTTTAAAACCACACATAAATACGAAGTATGAAGTATATGAGAATATTAATTAGGCTGAAATAACAAAAACCTGCAGCAAGCATTTTGTGAAAAAAGTCAAAGACAACAGTCTCATTAAGTAAAATCTATCAATTGAGTTACTTTTTCAGGAGAAATGGCTAAAAGAATGGAATTTTTACTCTGACCTATTCATCATAAAAATTATACAATTCTGTTTATGTAATTTAAATAAATATATAAGAATCATAAAGAACTGAAATTACATCATAAAATGATATTCAACCGGATTTAAAACAAATCGTCGTTAAGCTGCAAGAGTAATGAATAATCACATCTCAAGCTAAAATGAGTTCATAAGTGTCGGTTTGTATAAAAAAATAACTACAACTAAAATCATAGAGTGGATACACTATATCAAATTGTAAAATAACCCAAATCAGACATTAGAAGAAGAAAATCCAAACTTACCTACTCTCTGACATGAGGGGCGACATTGATGGTGTTGGACATCACCTTGCGTGGAGCTTTCGGCCAGGCGACAACGGTGGTGTTGATGTTTGTTGATCGGAAGAAGTAGAGTCGTAGAGATGGGGGGACGTCTTCGACACCCAGGGAGATCGGTGTTGAGGGTGCAATGAGTTGATTGGGGGCAGATTATGTTTTTTTTGTATTCAGACTGGACCAATGTTAATATGGGCCAAGTTCTAAACAGGTTTAAATATATTGGACTGTCCAAATAAGAGTGGTAAACTTAGAGCCCGTTTATATCAAAACGGCTGAATCGCTTATTCTACTGAAATTCATGAACTTCTGGCTGAAGTGGCTGAAACGTCAGATTCTACTGATTTACTAAAAAATAATATTTCAAATATTTTTTTAACAAAATAAAAAAAAAGTATATGTAAAAATGGCTAAAATGGTTATCTACAGTAATTTCAACCAATACAACCATAAAAGTAACTATAACCTTACTTTTCGCTATCATTACGCAATTCAACGCATGAAATCAAAAATCATGTGTTTGGTGAAAAAATTTGACCGATAAGCCGAAAAACTGAGCTACCAAACATGCTCTTAATAGTTAATGTAAAATTCGATATAAAAATTTATACAAAAAATTCTTCGTATAGCAAAATACAAAGAATTTATACGTGATTTGTGTGTTTTAATGTGTTTTAGATTTCTTAAGTTAAATTGTAATAACTTATACGAGCATCCCAAAATACTAACTTAACCATTTTATAACTTTTTAGGAAATAATTTTAAAAAATCTGATACTTTTAATACTTAAAACATAAGTATTTGTAATCATATAAACTAGAGCAGCATCTTATGAAGTTTAATGGTAAATGTTGCGCCTTCATGTAGAAGTTTTATCAAAATGTGTAATTATTTTTTGACCACCAATATTGAATCATTTATAATATTAAATTTGAAAAAGGAGTTTTTACTTTTAGTCCTGTATTGATATGCATTCTAATATTATGTATGTAGTAGAGGTAGATCATTTGAAACTGAACTCTAAAATAGTGGAGAAACATTTAAAAGCCCCGTTACCGCATAGTCAATTTGCTACGGGCATTCGAACATTACCTACGTAGTAAATGTAAATGATTTGAAACGCAAGCATAAAGAATGGAGAAACGTTAAAAAGCCCCTCTTATTGATATTTGTGATGGTATATTACATATGTATTTATAATATTATTAAAAAATCATTTGGTGGAATATTATACTTCCTCCGTTCTTAAATAAGTGCAAGTGTCAACATTTCACACTTGGCGAGGCACAACTTTGACCATTAATATATATAATTCTTTATTAGTAAAAAAATTAAAAAAAATAGATTTTGAAAATATACAATGAGGCAAATTTGACAATATTTTTTCAAGAAAGTATATTAATTAGACCTGGACTCGGGCCGGGCGGCCCGGTTACTGTGAGGCCCGGCCCGGCCCGGTTTGGCCCAGAACCGGAACCGGAACCGCCCACCGGCGGTTCGGGCCCGGGCCCAACTATCCTGGCCCGAGGCCCGGCCGGGCCCGAACCGGCCCGAGTCCAGGTCTAATATTAATACAGTATTTAAGTAAACGTAGTCAAAGTAGAACATGTGAATAGTGTAAAATTCAACATGTTGCACTTATTTAAGAACGGAAGTAATAGTATGCATATGCTTTGTCATTAGAAATTAGATTATTTTTGGCGTTTATATATACTCATAAACAAAGATTGTTTTAACTTAGCTTCATCTCAAAACTTTAATCTTACATATCTGATGGATCTCTATTTCATAATATCACAAGTGTTACGACTTCACTTTATCCTCCCTATCCTTTATATATCATAAATATATCATAAATAAAATACAAAAAAAAAAGAACTTTTGTCCCGTGCAACGCACGGGTTACATACTAGTATATATATAAATACGAGTCGATATAGTGACTACTCGTCCTAAAGGAGGGTCGGGTAGATCTGGTTCGGAGATAGCCGTCTCGGACGCGTTGAGGAAATTGATGCCAAAAAGGACTGAATCCTGGCCGGCCGAGGAAGAAGCTGTTCTCTGTGTTGGTGTTTATCTTTCCACCGCTGAAGTGTATGAGATACAATTCCGCTTTTGATGCTTGATTCATTTGTTAATACGGAGTGATCTATAATTCTGGGAATCGTTTTTGAATTCTTTAATCTAGATCTATATAAAATTTCGATTTTTATTCTATAATATATAATTCTTGATCTTTTGTTTAGATTCTTTAATAACAAAGTTTTGATTTTTGGGGAAAAGGGTTCAATTGTGGTTAAAGATCTTCAATTTACTTGGTTGTTAATAATTAATTCTTTGATTCTTTGTCTTTAATTTAGAATACTTGATTCACAAGAGGGTGAAGAGAGTCGGAGGTCTCTAAACCAAAGAGAGCAAAGAGCAAATGGCGCTGATAAGATTATGATGCAAATGCAGACTGAGAGAGCATTACATGAACTGGAGAAAAACTGAATCTCAAAGAGAAAGTGAGTTTTAGTTGAAAATATTCTTGTTTGATTTAACAATATAATATATCCATTGGTTATAAAAAAAATTGGTTACCAACAATGAAATGAACAAAGTATTGAACAGAAAATCATATCAATATGAATCTTACCAAAGAGAAAGACATTAGACTTAGAGCACCTAGTTATGCAGCAAGTAGAGAATGCTCTTAAAACCACTTTCCCTCCATTTCTTAAATATAAATATGAGTGCTTCCTTCAAAAAAAAATGAGTGCTTCCTTCAAAGTAGTACATAATGTTGTTAATAATTAATTCTTTGATTCTTTGCGTCTTTAATTTAGAATACTTGATTCACAAGAGGGTGAAGAGAGTCGGAGGTCTCTAAACCAAAGAGAGCAAAGAGCAAATGGCGCTGATAAGATTATGATGCAAATGCAGACTGAGAGAGCATTACATGAACTGGAGGAAAAACTGAATCTCAAAGAGAAAGTGAGTATAGTTGAAAATATTCTTGTTTGATTTAACAATATTATATATCCATTGGTTATAAAAAAATTGGTTACCAACAATGAAATGAACAAAGTATTGAACAGAGAATCATATCAATATGAATCTTACCAAAGAGAAAGACATTAGACTTAGAGCACCTAGTTATGCAGCAAGTAGAGAATGCTCTCAAAATCACTTTCCCTCCATTTCTTAAAAACTTATAGTAGCCAATGAGGGTTAGGGCATTTTAGGGATGAAAAAAATGTTGGTGTAATCATCCAGCTTAATGAGGTGGTACAATAGGTTTTGTGAGATGTACTCTATTAAAGGAACTTATTTTTGCGTTTTGTTTCCGTCTCATAGCTCCATCCGTTCCGTCTCCTCTGTTATCGTTAAGTTGAACGGTTGAATACACCTCCCCTTTCCATCGTCTCCCAGCGGCTCCTAAGTCCTAACCACACTCACGCTGCACAACACAGCTCGCCCCAATGCCCCATCCGCCCCTAACCTCACCGAACTCCCATCGTTTCTGTGCTCCGGCGCCAACCGTCCAGGTATGTCTCCATTTCGTTTCTTCGTTTCCTGCTAGACTTTGCTCATTTCGTCATCATTAATACATCATATTATTATGTCAGTGTTTGGGATCTCCCTCTTTCTCTGCTTCATTTGCCCCTGACTGTGCTGCCTTTAAATTTCTTTTTGGTTTTTTGGTGCTCTCTCAATTACTTTCTGCTCTGGAAAAGTTGAAGTTAGCATTTTACGGTGATAATAACGGAGACAACTATTTTTCCTTTTTCTATGATGTTCATGTGTAGAGGGTTTGTTTGTGAAAAATGAATTCTCAGTTAATATGATATAAAAGAAATCACAAGGGTTGATGTTGAATTTTCCATATAGCTTAAGATTTATTTGACGATAAGTACTAATTAGCTTACGTATAGGGAAGAATTGAAATGGAAGTGTGCTCTTTAGAACTTTAACGTCACATATGTTTTTAAAATCAAGTCTTCTAAGAATGGTGGTTTCACTGCTTTGATGTTTGAAGTCTCCGTGAGAATGTCGTTAGAAGCTTTAATATACAAAAGGTGAAAGTGTTCTTCATGTAGGTGTGCAGTGGAGTCCACCAATACGGGATCGTCTATAAGCTGGCATGTGGACTGCACATCCTCATATAGCCTTTGTTCTGAGGGAGAGGAGAGTACATATCACCGGTTTATCACTTGCTTGCTGGAAGGGGAAGTTTGGAGTGGACAGAGATGGGTGTTGGGTGGAGAAGGGGTTTGTCATTCGTGGAGTGGGTTGAAAACAACTTTTTAACTAGGAACACATAGCATTGTTTTTTACTTATTATGGTGTGTTGGAGTTTGTGGTGCACCCATAATGAGAAGGTATGTGAAGGGAGTTGTAGGACCAGTGCACAAGTTCTCTCGGTGGTAATCATGTTTCCGGAGGGGTGGAGAGCAGTCCAACAGCAGCGTATCAAGGATGGTTATGTTGCAGATGATGTGAGTTGAAAGTGCAGCAACTGAAGGGTCTTTTGCAGGACTGCAGCGGTTAGGATAAAGCTAAACGTCTAAATGCTGATGTGTGTGTGAGGAGTATGAGTGAGTTTCGAGCTATGTTTGTGAAACCTCAAAGGTATTGAATAGATTGGGCCTCAAATTGAAACCAACAAAATCATGCTCAAACCTGAATGAAAGTAAGGAGAAAATTTGGTTTAAATTTAAGAGAAAGAGGACGTAGAGACAAAGGGCAAATTGAAGGAGATATTTTTTATCCATGAATATTTAGCTCTCAATGTCATTATCTTATAGTCAAGTCTAGAAGAATCTAAGATGATATTGTAAGAAGCTAAGGAGAGGAAAGTAATTGACAGCTAGGCTCTAAAAGTGGTTCAAATGTAAAAGTTGCGTCTAGAATGTAACTCACACCGATAAGCTTTTAGAGTTTAATAACTGACTTTTAGAAAGTATTTTATGAACTGTAAAAGAATTCAAGAAAGATTATTTTGAAAAGAAAAAGTGTTTTTAGAACTTGAAATGCATTTAAGAGAATAAGAGATTCTAAAAGTGGAAACTGAACACCTGGAGTAGTTTCCTTCCGTTGGTTCTAAGAGTTAAAAGATAAACACATAGTGGAAGACAGTTGATTCCTTTCCCAGGTTACTTGAAGGTAATATAATATGCCCGAAAAAGTTGCATATCTAAACATGTCTCACTGAGTTCATTCTTAAACCAGCTAAATTTAAGAACTCAATTAAAAAGGTAAATGACAGAATGAGTAAAGCTGTCACTTTTCATTTAACCTTTTTTTGAACCAAATATGTGGATCAGGATTCATTGCTGTCGTCTGGAATCAACACAGCCTCGGACAAACACTTGATGCAACAATTACTTACACATGGGAGCATGGAGTCAAAAGAGAGGGACGTTGAGGGTAATTAGCTGAAAGTTCTAACTATAGAGAGGAAAGGCAAGAACTCGCATTTAGTCCTCAAACTATACTGAGTGTTGTGCTTGAACGATATTGAAATACATAGTTCTACTCCATAATCTTCACAAATCATCATGTATATACATTAAGATAATTGTAACCTAAGTTACCTTAACAAGAAAATAGTATGGAGTATCATAGAGAATACATGAATATTTCATTCTTTCCCAAAACTTCAACACCCTTTTCCTTGTATTTTTTTAAAAGATCAATAAAACTACATTAATTCATACTTCTATTTGTCCATAAGAAATTGATATTTTGTGCAAATGATTTGTATAAAAAATTAATATGAGTGCTTCCTTCAAAGTGGTACACAATGCTGTTAATAATTAATTCTTTGATTCTTTGTGTCTTTAATTTAGAATACTTGATTCACAAGAGGGTGAAGAGAGTCGGAGGTCTCTAAACCAAAGAGCGCAAAGAGCAAATGACGCTGATAAGATTATGATGCAAATGCAGACTGAGAGAGCATTACATGAACTGGAGGAAAAACTGAATCTCCAAGAGAAAGTGAGTATAGTTGAAAATATTCTTGTTTGATTTAACAATATAATATATCCATTGGTTATTTAAACTAGTATTAGCACTGATATTGGGAATGTAAACTAGTATTAACACTGATCTTGAATATAATACTACTGACCTATTAGGAATACACATGTAAACATATTAAGAGTTCAGGGTATCCCAAACATATCCCAAACTGATATTGAATATCATATGCTTTTATCCATGCTTTTATTACGGGCTAATGGAGAATGCATTTTTTTACTGTTCAATGAACAGTAAAAACTGTATTGGAAAAACTGAAACGAAAATTACAATGAAATCATACAAAATGTCAAAATGCATACAACGTTCCAGAGAAATTCAGTCTATCAACCAAATACTTCGTACTTTTCAAATACTATCCAATCATGTAAAAATTCATCAACAACTTCTGATGTTCAAAAACAGATTGTGATACAAAACCGTTTATTAAAGGTGCAATCATTTTGTCTACATTTCAATATGAAATTGAAATTGACATTATTCACCGTATGATTTCACTGCTAATTATTTGGTTGTCTTCCCCTTGCAGCTTCAGCTGCCAATCGGGCCCTTTCCCGTTGAACCGCAGCTTGTTCATCTGCCTTTTTCTGCATACACGTAGTATTAAAATGAATTACTGGTTGAATTACTGTTTGAATTACTGTGGAAAGACATACTCCGTATAATACTTAAATGAATTACTGTTTGAATCACTGTTTGAATTAATTGAATTACTGTGGAAAGACTTATACCTTGCATTTTGTCTTGTGTTTAGTATACTCGCTGAAGCCTCGCACTTTTGCTTGACAAATTGAGCAGATCCAATCACTTCGATGCGAGTCATCTCTCTTTTCCTTCGCCATTTTCGTTGTTATTCAGTTTGATCAAATTGATTTGAAATTGAAATGTTGTTTGTTAACTATATATAATATATATATGTATATATATCAGGCAACCGTGTGCACATAACTTTTCCAGGCTTCCCGCCAAAGCAAAATTGTTGGGCCCCATGCAAGCTATTCAGCAAGAATTCTAGAACTAACCTGATAAAAATAAAAGGTTGGCCCAAGCGGTCAACATGTATAGACTGTAGTGACACTTGTCGATCCATATTAATATACTAATCGGCACATTAGAAAAAACAGTGAAAAAACAATTGAAATGACCTTTCAAAAAATTAATTGAAATGAAGAAATGCCAAATTAAATATGTGATAATGTGATACAAATATACCAAAAATTTAAACAATAACAAAACATGGAATGAAGAATTAAAAATTTCACTATAATAAGATCCAATTTACGTATCCTAAAAAGTTCAGCACAAAGTGGGCACATTAGCTTGGCTCTGATGTAAAATTAACGAAAAATATGGATAAAGCCATGTTCAGTTTTTTAATTCCCCATTATCAGTTCAGTTATTTTTCCCATAACCGTGTTATGGGAATTGTATAACACACAACGAAATAAATACACTCAAAGGTTCTAAGTTTAATGGCAAATTTAGTGTCTCCGTAAACTATCACCACTTTCAAATAATTTTATATCTATGACTAGTTTTATGACGCGCTTTGCGCAATTGGATAGTGCCCAAGTTTTTACTCCCTCAGTCCCACTATTATATATGGTCCCGTTGCAATTTACGACGCTTGGCTGAAGATAAAGTAAATGAATTCATGGCCGCACTCAAATTTTTTTTAGAAAAAAATTTACATATTCAGAAATTACATTAAATGTTTTACAAATTCATAAAAACCAGAATCAAATTGGTATTAAGAAATGAGTTAGTGAACTAATATTCCTTATTAAACATTCATGGCATTCAACATTACGTCGTTGGAAGGTTGCAATGTAATTTATGCATAGACCGAGCACATATATATCATAGTAAAGCATATTCACACTGATGGTTGCAAAATGCACATCAACATCGTAACAATAGTAGCATGCATGCATCTACTGATCTACATCTCTATATTGATGAGAAAATTCATTAAGTAGAACTAAAGTGTAGAAATAGAACCATCATTTTCTCTTGTAAAATAAGCTATTAGCTATATTCACTCCTAATTGGGAGAAGTTTATACTTTTAATACGATCAAATAAGGATGTTTTCTTTTGGACTATGTTCAATCCCGGCCCAGAACAAATCAGATCAGATCAGAACATACCAAACTTAAATAGACCAGACTTAAACATACCAGACCAGATCAAACTTAAACAATTATAAAAATACACAGAGATTAGACGTTTACCAGATCAGGCCAGCAAATCTCAATTCAAAAGAAAACATCCTAAATTTTATTTTAGAAATAAAACATAATTACTTCTATTTATACATTTCGTCTTTAAGTAATTTTTTACACTTACTGTAGGTCTGTAGGAGCAGAAAAGGCGGATAGTTAAGCAAGATTTGTAGGTTTCTATTGTTGGAATTAAACATACGATATACTCCCTCCGTCCCAAAATGATGGTCCTATATTTCCTTTTTGGGATGTCCCAAAATGATGGTTTTGTTTCCCTTTTTGGTAAGGAAATTAAAGCAAGTTACCATTTATACCCCTTCTTTTTGTGAACAGTAAAAGTAAAGTAATGAACATTGCATTAAATGAGTCATTCTGCCTCACTTTCTTAATATTTGAGCCCAAATAGTATAGGAACATCAACCGTGTTATGGGAATTGTATAACACACAACGAAATAAATACACTCAATTGACTCAAAGATTCTAAGTTTATTGGCAAATTTAGTGTGTCCGTAAGTTGTCAGCACTTTCAAATAATTTTATGAAATAAAGGCTGAAATAGGACTACAGACTTTTGACTTTCCAAACGTAGGACCTGTTTTTAATTTGACAAAAAAGGGACCGGCATTTTCAATCGACACCAGACCTCCAAGCGACGCACCAGACTCAAGATCCCAGTCTTCTCCGAACTTCTCCCCTGCGCGCAGCAACAGCACCGACCAAACCTCCAAACATCAACGCCAGACACCTTTTCGCCAATACACGCCGTCGCCCGCGCCTGCCGCCGCTGCTTGCCAGCAGCGTTGTTCTTCTTCGTCTCGATGCTTCAGCGGCTCAACAACAAAGCTGTCTTGGTCGACGATTCCATGGATGACAGAAGTAGCTTCAACAAAGCCTTCACCTGTGTTACCAGATCCATGGCGGATGCAGTTTTGTGTGCGACGGCGACGGCCTTAATTATCAGATCTACGGTCGCCTGCAGCAGGGGAGGGGGAAATGGTGGCCGGAGGTAACGGGCCTGGTTGCCTGGGGAACGGGATGAGGTCCAGACAAGGTCTTGGGCGCTGGTGGGGTCGAGTAAGGTTTGTAAGGCTGATCCGGCGGCGGCCAGAGCATAGGCGGCGGCCAGAGCATAGGCGGCGGCGGTCAGAGCATAGGCGGCGGCGGCCAGAGCATAGGCGGCGGCCGGAGCATGGGCAATGGCCACTCACTGCAGGGGTGGTCAATGGCCGTGTTTGGTCATGACCGGATTGGTCAGTCGGGTTGGTCAAGGTCAAATTGGTCATGGTCGGGTTGGTCATTGGTCGAATTGATCCCGGTCGAATTGATCACGGTCGGATTGGTCACGACCGGATTGGTCACGGTCGGATTGATCACGATCAGATTGGTCACGGTCGGATTGGTCACGATCAGATTGGTCACGGTCGGATTGGTCACTATAAGTGGACATGTTGGTAATTGTAACTGGACGAATTATGTAACTGTAACTATAATTGGGTGGGTCGGTAACTATAACTGGACTGGTCGGGTAAGTGTATCTGGACCTGTCAGGTAAATGTAACTGGACGTGTGAGGTAACTGTAACTGGACGGGTTGGGTAACTGTAACTGAATGCGTCGGGTAACTGTATCTGGACGGGTCGGGTAATTGTAACTGGACAGATTGGGTAACTGTAATTGGACGGGTCGGGTAATTGTAACTGGACAGATTGGGTAACTGTAACTGGACGGGTCGGGTAACTGTAACTGTGCGGGCGGACGTTGGTCACTACTCACTAGATGAGCGGATGGTTGTCACTTGGCGGAATTTGAATTTTTGGTCACTAATGATTTTTGACGGATTTTGGTCATGGTCCTGGTGATTATACACGAGCACTAATGGATGAGATTTTTTTTCACTTAAACACAACATTTTATTAATTTGAAGAGCAAAGTTCTGGAATTACATGGTGATTATCTAGCTACGAGCATAAAGAGAACAATACACAAATGAAGCAGTGCAATAGTCCAAGATCGTAGTGGGCCTGGAGGAAGCTAATACACCAGGGGATGTCGGCCGATCAAACGGAACGGGTTGGTTATACGTAGTAGTCTTTTAATCAAAAGTTCCATTTTTGGAAAGTGAAAAAAAGGTCCCTTTTTGTCCATATCTCTTTTTTTAGTATTATTTTAGACATATCCCTTTTAGTTTTATATCTATGGATAGTTTTATATCTATGGCCGTGCTCAAATTATTTTTAGAAAAATTTTTACATATTCAGAAATTACATTAAATGTTTTACAAATTCATAAAAACCAGAATCAAATTTGATAAAAATTTGATATATAAATTATGAGTTAGTGAACTAATATTCCTTATTAAACATTCATGGCATTCAACATTACGTCGTTGGAAGGTTGCAATTTAATTTATGCATAGACGGAGCACATATATATCATAGTAAAGCATATTCACACTGATGGTTGCAAAATGCACATCAACATCGTAACAATAGTAGCATGCATGCATCTACTGATCTACATCTCTATATTGATGAGAAAATTCATTAAGTAGAACTAAAGGGTAGAAATAGAACCATCATTTTCTCTTGTAAAATAAGCTATTAGCTATATCCACTCCTAACTGGGAGAAGTTTATACTTTTAATACGATCAAATAAGGATGTTTTCTTTTGGACTATGTTCAATCTCAGCCCAGAACAAATCAGATCAGATCAAAACAGACCAAACTTAAACAGACCAGACTTAAACATACCAGACCAGATCAAACTTAAACAATTATAAAAATACACAGAGATTAGACGTTTACCAGATCAGGCCAGCAAATTTCAATTCAAAAAAGAAAACATCCTAAATTTTATTTTAGAAATAAAACATAATTACTTGTATTTATACATTTCGTCTTTAAGTAATTTTTTACACTTACTATAGGTCTGTAGGAGCAGAAAAGGGGGATAGTTAAGCAAGATTTGTAGGTTTCTATTGTTGGAATTAAACATACGATATATATACTTCCTCCGTCCCAAAATGATGGTCCTATATTTCTTTTTTGGGACGTCCCAAAATGATGGTTTTGTTTCCTTTTTTGGTAAGGAAATTAAAGCAAGTTACCATTTATACCCCTCCTTTTTGTGAACAGTAAAAGTAAAGTAATGAACATTGCAATAAATTAAGGTTAAATGAGTCATTCTGCCTCACTTTCTTAATATTTGAGCCCAAATAGTATAGGAACATCAATTTGGGACGGGGTATATTATTTGGTATATGAGTTAAAGAATAGTGAAAGAGCAACATGAAAAGGAACTAAATTGTTTTTGTGACTAAATGTTTGCTTGACT